GTTCACCCTCACCGATGGAAAAACTGGTAGTAGAATGATTGAGTCACTTGATGCCGGGGTCTATATAAGGCTCACAAGACTATACAGTGATGTTGATGGAACACTGGAAAAAAAAACACATTGGATCTCGAGTCCAGACTCTTAAAACATCGACAGAAAAAGTTCTCTTGATTCAATCAGAATCTAGTTCAAATCAAGAACCAAGCCTCTAAATTTAAGCGGATTTCGTTTTGATTCAAGCAAAAATCAACTTGAATCGAGAGTATTTTTTCTTGTCAATGTTTTCAAGGGTCTGGACTCTAGATCCAATGTGTTTTTTTTTCCAGTGAAAGTAAAATTAGCCCCATAAAAGCGTAGATTCCGCACCGTAATAGTGTATTTGCAAGTCACTTCGTAAGAATAATAACTCCGCTCCGTGTTCATATCACTTGGGATTTTGTACGCTACATGGACTCCGGGACAACATATCACTTAAACATGTTTCAACAGTGTTCCAGTGTTCCACCCAGAACAGATGAGTCTGTAAATTTTCTGCGGCTTCTGATGATGGTAGCCGCCCAACATTCCGTGCCGATAACAGGGTGTCTACTAAAACTGGTTGGCCAAAAATCAGTACTTTTACAGTACTTCTTCAGTACATTGCCAAGAAATTCAGTACCTCCTCAATAGATTTTTCCGTACCTCCAATTGACGAAATTCGAAAAATTTCAAAAATGTCAGTTTCTCGCTCAAATTGCGACAGAAACGACAAAAAAATAAAAATAAATTCCGGGCCTTCCAACGGAATTTCCGCACTTTTTCAGTACTTCCGGACCGCCTTTAAAAATCAGTACTATTTCCAGACTTATCGGAAATTCCAAACTTGTAGACACCCTGGATAAGAAATTCGTGGGCGTCAATGAGCTTAAAATCTGTGTTTCAGTTGAATGTACACTGGAAGTGAACAAACATCAAGATATTGAAGGAAAGTTGCTAAAATACTGGTTTCACTTGAAATTGTGTGCAAAAAAAAAATCACTTTTTATGCCTAGTGGCTCATTTCTGTTATTTCTTCCTTAAAAACTAACGTGGAGGCCTATAGAGAGAAGCTGTAAGTACCAGAACACGAAATTCTCCGAATTAAGACACGTGACTTGAAATTCGACAACTACGGCGGGGAATTGAGACTAATGAACCTTTCCTTGATTGGGTTCTTCAGAATGCCTATCAGCTCACGTAGGTGAGGCGTCGGTTCATTCCACACCTCATCAGGACCATTATGACTCCATGATGATCATAGAGTGACCGTTTAGAGAGATTAAGCTAGCTCACAACGTGTGAAATGAAGTAATTTGTTCTTGCGAACGTGCAATGTCCGATATGAGTGATAGCATTCATCATGGACTACAGGGTGTCTACTAAAACAGGCTGGCCAAAAATCAGCACTTTCGCAGGGATGCCACAGAATTTATAAAATGAAATTCCCCGACATTTCCCCGATTTCTCTGTCACATCTTGGGAAAAATTCCTTGCAATTGAGGATATGCCAGATGCTCAAATAGACATGATTTGGAATGGTTTTCAGACAAAATTGTTGTTCGAAACGTCGAACCCAATCTAGAAAAAAAATAGAGGTGACTCGACGATTTCTCCCTGACATTTTCGTCATTTTTCTTGGCATTTCCACGTTTTCCCTGACTTTTTAAAATTCTCAGGGTTGCCAAAGAATTTGGAAAATGAAATTCCCTGATATCCCGGACCTATTTTGGTAAAATTTCCTGACATCTGAAGATTTATGACAGATGGTTGAGAAGACTTACTGGAATACAGGTTTCAGGCATTTGTTGTTCGAAACCCAGAGCCGGATTAAGGGGGTGGCCACATGGGCCGCGGCCCATGGCAGAAAATTTAGGGGGCGGCAAATTTTGTAATTTTTTTAAATCTAGGTATAAAAAAAATCGGATTCAGAAAAAAAAATTATCAATGAGAAAAGGGGACAAAATCTCTCTTTCCTGAGAGTATAGTAATTTCTAATTTTGTTGTTTTTCGGTGATACAAGAGACAGCATCTTTTATTAGTCGAGGTAAGAGAGGGACTAAACACGCAATTTGGCCTGAAGCTCAGCGCAGAGAGGAATGATGACGAGGACTTGAGATGAAAAGGAGAAGCTCTCGGCGCGGCGGTCGGCCTCGGCATGTAACACATATTAGCGCCTACAACATTGCATGAATACTTCACGCATTGCGTCAGACACAGTGCGCATGCGGTCAGCAGCGATCGGCGCGAAACGCATAGCGCCTACAAGACTGTAGGAATACTTCCCGCATTGCGCCAAATACAGTGCAGTCAGCGCGGAGCGGCGGCGCGGAATAAGTTAAAATTATAAAACCACATTTATATTTGTTCTTTCTTAATTTTTTCGTTCAATGCTTATAAATTGAAGACCTTGTCCACAAAGAGACAGGTTTACGGGACTTAACTTTCGCGCTAAGTTCCGTGAGCTTTTGCTAGTGGTGTTGACGGGGCTTTCGCAAAAAATGTGTCTCACACGAGTAAACGCGTTTTATGCGCCCCGCTACCTCCGGCACGTTCACTTGATGGTTTTATTGATGTTTCAAAACGAATGAGAAGGGGCGGCCCATGGGCGGCAAGTATAGGTAAAGCCGGCCCTGTCGAAACCTCAAACCCATTCTAGAAATCAAACAAAGGTGATTTAACACGTTTTCCGTGACATTTTCGTCATTTTCCCTGACATTGCCCGGTTTTCTGAATTTTGAGAATTCCCTGAAATTCCCGGTATTCCCTGCCTGTGACAACTCTGTTTGGCATCATACGACTTGCGTCCCGCGGTCGAAAAAGGAACGACTTCCGTCCCGTGTCCAAAAATCTCGAAAACGACTTGCGTCCCGCGCTCAAATCCGAATTTGAGCTGCCATCATGATTGGCAACACCGCGGACTTGAGTCAAAATACTATCAAGTCAAATTGGAAAATATACAATAAATTTATTCAATAAATTTATATACAATAAAAAATATTCACGGATATACGAAACGAACACATAATCAAAGAATGCAACAATTCTCGGGTCTGATGGGCAATTTGCTATTAAGTCAAAAGCGAAACAATCGCTGACTTCATCAGGAGAGAGCGTCGGGAGACCGAAAAATGTTTTTAAAAACTCACCGTCTTCAGTTTTTGATTTATAAACGTCAGTTAAGTGCAATTTTTGAATTTTTCGGTACCAGTTTTGGGCAATATGGAATCGACACCCACGCACTTCACAGTTTGGGAATACGGCGCGGTAGCGACGTTTCCATATGATATGAATTACAATCAAATCAATCCACTACGGGACGCAAGTCGTTTTCGAGATTTTTGGACACGGGACGGAAGTCGTTCCTTTTTTGACCGCGGGACGCAAGTCGTATGATGCCCTCTGTTTTACAGTACTTTTTCAGTGCATTCCCAAGAAATTCAGTACCTCCGCGACAGAAAAATCCAGAAATTTTCATAGAACAGGAAACGAGTTCGGAGAGGTCGGTGAGGATGCTATCGACGACTGACAGGACCACGTGACGTGACCGCACTTTCGATNGGGGGGGGGGGGGGGGGGGCGATGCTTAGGGCGTCACTGCGCTCTTCACTTCCGTTCCGCGACGCAGCCCAAACCGCAAGACGCGCGACGCCTACTCAACGAACCATTGTTGCCGGATGAACATTTAAGACGGATCACACGCGGGTAAAAAATCCCCGTGTTCATAGTTATTTTGGGTCCCTCCCAGTTCTTTTTTTTCAACTAAAATTATTTGGCTAATGAAGCAAATTTTTGGTTGGATCGACCGAAACAGTAGGTTTTGAGTATCTTGAGATTTCAAGATGACTTATCTTTTTTTCGGACGACGCGGCAACGAGGCACTAAGGAAGGATGCTGTCGTGTTCCATCGACGGGTACAAGGAGCTTAAACAGGGTTGCCACCGTGGGGCTCACCTCACTGAACACAACTTCAAAACTATTATGGGGAGACATTGGGAGGGGGTAGAGGCTGACAGACACCACGTCCATAAAAAGGATTGGCCAGCTTGGTTTGGCACAGCGCACAGTAGGCAAAATTCCGAAACCATCACAAAGTATCCCACTTAAACCATCGACATTTTGATCTTGATGGAAACCGTTACCGAATTTCCACAACTAAACCTCGAATTTTATTCTACTGTGCATCGTGTTGAGAGCCAGATTAGATGATTGGAAGCTCTTACTGCCATGCCATTGCAAAACGATCACCTAACTGTTGAGTCTCAAATCCTTTCGTTCACCCATCGATAGATTATTAAACCTGACAGTCGTCAAACTCCCCGAATTTTTACGGACACGCGGAAGCCCTCAAGAGCCTCAAACGAATCCTCCTCGTTATTTCTTTCGTTTCCTCTTCGGAGATTATAGACGCTTCGTCGAGACGTTTATGCTTTTCACTTATTGTTAGCGGTGCGAGAACATAACGACATAAATGAAAGTCCCCCTGGGCTTCAAATCGCTGACTTTCGGGACACGTGAGTATACAGTTTGGGTGGAAACAGCTAAATTAGATTGCAGGAAATTTCACATGAGAAGTAAGTACCGATGGAATTTTTGAGCAATTTTTCATCTGCTTCAAGCTTGCGTCTCCACGTGCCTCTCAAAATTAAGAAGAAAAAGAAGAAGAAAACAGGGTGGCCACAGAAATTTACAATTCTAATTTCCCCTTTTCCAGGTCAACAGTGACTAATTTTGAGAAATTTCTTTGACTTATGAGATCAAAATATCGGATGAAAAATAATAATTTAAAAATGAAAATTTCTGGTCCAGCTGAGAGAAAGCTGAAGCAAGTAAAACGGCATCTGAACATTCGTCATTCACGTAAAGCTATATTTCCCTGGCTTTTCGGTTCTTTTTCTCTTTTTACCGGTATTCCAGAGTTTCCCTGACAATGACCATCACAAAAAGGGCCAAGGATGAAATTAAACGTGAGAGTAAATACTTACAGATTCACAAAGCAGAGCCTCCCCCTGGATTGAGTAACCTGTAACAGACGAAAAAACGAATGAAACCTGATTCATTTTTGCGAATTCCTTTGAAATAATGCCATTAGCCATTTCAAGTCAAACTAAGAATCGATAATTAATTATAAATGTTGTTTACCCAATTTTCCCTTAATTTTCATATTAAACACGATCAAATAATTGAAGGATTAAATATCATTAAAGTAAAGTCTCTAGACTGTTTTGGTCACATCGAATAACAGTTCCGTCATTTTTTCAATTATTTCCCCCGGGGCTGAGAGACACCGCTCTCCTGACCCGTACTGCCGCGCTAAGGAAGAACGCCGTATGAACACTCGATAGTTGCCAAATCTTCTCCGATAATGTGTTTATTTATGAGAAAAATTATCAATATTTTTCATTGAAATTTTCAGACTTCTTGGATCAAATTACAAACAAAATTACCTGAAAAGTTGGAAGAAAAATATTCACAAATTTTCTTGAAAATGAATGATTTGTCAAGGGAAAATTGGCAAAGCCTAGGGGCGCATACTGCCTTGCTAAGGAAGAACGCCGTATGAACAATTGAGAGTTGCCAAATTTCCCTCAATGAAATGTTTATTTTTGAGGAAAGTTATGAATATTTTTCCTTGAAATTTTCGGGACCTTTAGATGAAATTGTGAGCAAAAGTATCTGAAAAACTAGAGCGAAAATATTTATAAGTTTTCCAGAAAAGTCGTGTTTTATCAAGGGAAATTTGGCAACGCCTAAAGGCTCATACGGCGTTTTTCCTTAGCACGGCAGCGCGCTCCCTTGCGGGTAGGCAAAACGCACTTGCGGGAGGAAAAACACGATCGCGGGCGAGCTGGAACAATAAAATTGTTGAAGTTCTCATTACGCTTCCAGACAAGTCAATATTGACGGACGCGGCTCAACCCTTCACCCCGCCACCCTTTGCCACCCTCCGACCCTCCGAGACTTTTGATCCGTCCGCCCGACGCGGCAGTTCAACTCGCGAAAAACACGTCATTCGTCAACGGGTGTTCTGCAAATCGTGTTCCGGGGCGGACTTCAAAAAAGGCGTGGGGGCAGTTACAACCGTGATGAGGAAGAACGCCGTGTAAGCTTTCGGACAGGGTTGCCGCATGCAGAATTTAGAAAATAAAGTTCCTTGATATTTCTTCGATTTTTCTGATTCTCATTTTGGTAAGATTACCTGACAGTTGAAGTAGAGTACCTGAATAGCGAGAGTGAGGACAGATGTGAAACTCCGAAAATCCATCAGGCCTTCACCGATGCTTCTGCGAATAAAGTTAGGGCCCAGAAATGCAGCCAACCTATGAATTTCAATTATCCCGAACGATTTACTAATACTATTGTTACGAATCGTCGTTTATAAAGCACATATTTGACTCAGTTTTTGCATAAATTTACTCATTTTTGCGGAAGAACGCTTATTTCTGGACCTTCTAGGCCATCTTGGTTAGGATTGGAATTTGCAGACTCTGCAGATTGACAGTGAAATTTCGTGTGGTAGAAGTTGCTTAGAGGGATGGCTGCACTTTTAGACCCTAAAGACCTCCATGAAGCTATCTGTCCATACTCTCACTATACAGGTACTCTAAATTGAAGAGATGACAGGTAGTTCAGAAGACATAATTGCACATAGTCTTCGTGAAAAATTTGTTGTTCGAAACCTCAAACCCATTTTAGAGAGCAAATAAAGGTGATTTAACAAATTTTCCCCGACATTTTCGTCATGTTCTCTGGCATTTCCCGGTTTACCGTGACATTTTCGTCATTTCCCCTGCCTATTTTACTATAATTTTTGGAACTTCTTGGCTTTGATTTCCCCGCGAAATGGTGTGGACCCAGCACCATCGCTCCACCTTGTTACAGGTGAGCCAAAATAAACCGAAAAAAGACTTGACCCTAACTTAACGTCTTTATGAGGATTGCCAGGGATGCAAAAGCCTCTCGATCACGGGACTCGGCCGGCGGGTCGCGTGTGCACATGGAAGGGCTATTTTTTCTCTCTCTTTTTTTTACAGACCTGCGGTAAAAATCACAATTTTTTCGCAAGATCGCGGCAATTTATACGTATAGAGCTTTAAAAAAAGTCATCTCTAGGAAATTTCTGAGGAAAGAGGGGTTTTGAGAATGGGTAGGCTGAGAGCTTGAGGGTTCAGCAAGCTTGATTAAGAATCATATCCAAGTCGTCACTTATACATTAAGACTTCAGTAAGCCGTAAGAATAGCATTGGTTGAAGAAGCCTCAACATTCAAGGAACGAGCGATAGATTCACTGTCAGTTGAAGTCACGTTAGCGTTCAAACAGTCATGACAGGAAAGCTCGAATCGACGCCAGCTCAATGCAGAATCCGTCATTAAAATCGAGTGTCATCGTGCGTAATTTTCACGAAAAGAAAATACGACCTCGAGAATTAATCGCTAATTCGCGGCCGATAGGCTCTTAACCGCGCGTCGCCAACAAAATTTATGCACGGTACCTCATTATTTATGACCGATCGAGCCGGCCTGCCAGCCTCTCGCGGCGCGCGCGGTGCAAGGGTGACATAGCAGACGACGATGTGATCCTCCCGCGATTTGCAGTAATGACTTGCACCGTGATTGATTTGTTTTCGCTCTTGCCGTAGCTTTCGGAATGAATCACTGTCATTAATTCTCGAGCCGCGCGAGGAGACAATCGAGACCGCAAATCCGACACGCACTTTGAGAATCCAATTATTGAACTTAATGAAATTAAGATTTACTCCGTTTCCATTTTCAGTCGAAAACGAAATCACCGGTGTTCTGCCTTCCTCGGGCGCCATGCTCCGAATACGTTAAAAAATCCGGCTAAAGCGCCTAAAAATTAGGCTGAGGGCCGATAAACGAAATTGATAGACAAATAAGACAAAAGGAATATGGAGAGATCCTATTGGTGGAAGCGGGTGATAGGAATAGACAAAGGAGGTAAGTAACAGACTATCTAACGGCAACCGTCAAGAGACCCTACAGTAAAGTTTTAGTCCATCATTTCCTCCCTCAGTCTGCAAGAACCACTAGTTTCAATTAACAGGATCGCTTCCATATTCCTCACATCTTTGTTGTCTATTGCTTTGTCTATCCATTTCAATAATCAGCCCGCTGGGCCATCGTGGTGCCTAAAATGGTTGACGCGCTCCGTCGATTTTTTTCTAACTCGTATAATTGGACTACTTAAATGAAAAGGAACCAAATCCACTGTCACATGAGCCCTGTCATCCTTCCTATCTTACGGATTTCAGAATGAATATGGTACCTTTTGATTTAAATACGTTCAATTATGAAGTGTTGGAGCATGATGCGAGTGAGAAAAGCTAAATTAGCTCCCAAAAAATGGGCTCTCCGACCAAGGTGACTCCTAAAAGTTTAGAGTTCCGGAATCCTTGCCATCACCGGTTTCAATCCAAATTCGTACGTCCTTATTCAATTGATTAACTTTTACAAAGATCCTTTCAGTATAAATAACTTCAATTCTGGTTGTATATTACGTTATTCCCCCAAATTCTTGTCATTCCTTTGCACCGACCCCTGCAAAGATTCCAGAAACCCCCCTACCGATGAATCCAACCACCCTATGCCAAAACATCAAGGCTGCAATCTGAAGCTGATGTCACACGATCAAACCATGCTATCAATATATCAGGGGCAAATGCTATGATTGGCTTATTCCATGACTTGGACCAATCACAGCATTTGACCTTGATACATCGACAGCACGGTTTCATCGTGTGACATTAGCTTGACTTTCCGCGGCACCCTATGGTCGCGACGGTAAACGGCGATTCGACGGGGTTCAAGCGGGGTTGCCAACCAGGCCTCTAGTACCACACAACTCCACCCTCGTATTCTGCCGTGCTAGGAGAGAACGCAGTAAGAACATTCGAGAGTTGCCGAATTTCCCTTGAAAAACATGCATTTTTGACGACATTCATGCACATTTTTCTTTGAAATTTCCGGACATTTTTTCCCATTAAATTGCGTACGAAATTGTCTGAAAACAGGGTATCTAGTTTTCTTTCATTTTGGGAAATCCTGATTTGTCCTTATTTTTGACTGCTAGCTTCTGATTTCATAATTTTATCAAATCCTGATTTTTTGCGGAGAAAATATAACGGACGGATAGCGGATAATTAACGGGAGATACGGAAGACTCTTTTAAAATCCTGATTTTACGACCGATTATTCCTCAAATCCTGATGAAATCTGGATTAAATCCTGATGAAATCTGGATTAAACCCTGATTGACCTCAAATCCTTGTAGAATCGGGAAACTTGGGAAAATCCTGATGCTAGACAACCAAAAAAATTGTCGAAAAAAATATCCACAATTTTTTCGGTAAATTCAGTTTTTATCAAAGGGTATTTGGCAACGTCTAAAGGCTCATACAGTGTTCTTCCGCAACACCTTAATATTGGCCCAATTTTCCGCAAGATAGCGGCAACAGTGGACTCGTGGGCGGGGGTAGTGGGTCACGAAGCTACTCAAGGCTCATACATGCGTGACTGGGGCTCATCAATAAACCCGTCGCCCTTTCGACATACGGACGTAACCACACTCAACGATGAGCCCTGTCGTCCGTATGACTCAATGCTTTCTAGGTCTCATCTCAAAGTGAAGTTACGCCCTTTCGTCGGCCGGGTCCCGACTCGGGGCCCGTGCCACCGAGCACTCACACAGAGACGTGACGGCACACACACTCGCCCGATTTCACACTCCCAGACGCTACGTCGACGCGGGCACTCGCTGAAATATTCCGGAATAGATTTGGACGTATTTCTGCCGAACGGAACTATGTTCATTATGACGTGAGCCTTGTTGAGGATATATTCTTATGGGTCCCAGAAGGCTCATGTCTTCATGCACTAAGTTCCGTTTGGTAGAAATACGTCCATTTCACACTAGCTTTAACTTGAAAATCCGGTCATTTGGAAACCCTCGAACAAGCTGATAAATTGTACCGAGTGGTAATCTCGAGTTCCGGTTGAAATAAC